CATTTCTAACGTTACATGTGTAAATCATTTGCAGATCATCCAGTAGATCAATTCTGTAGATCGTTTTTGTAAATCTTTTAGTAGATCAATTTTGTGAAACATGTTGAGCTATATTCTCTATGTTATAATCACCCTATAACATAGTATCTATCTTATGATTTTTACTCTGTAAAAATTTAAAATGTATTTGTAGTTTAACATTATTAATCTTATTTTCATTAATGATAGACTATCTAATTCTATATCAGAAGTTTTCATTCAAATTTGAATTTCAAGTAATCGATTATATGGAAAATCCTTTTAAAATTGAACACAAATCTAAAATTAACTTTCTGATCGACTGATCATACAGACTAAACTCTTCTAGGACAGGCTGTGTAAATATTTTCTATATCTAGAAGTAACATGCATTATATCTTGTTCTTAAAAATCATGCAATATTTTTCTCCTTATATTTTTAAATATACAGATACTAAATTATGCATCTGAGTAGATTCTAAAATTATTACATTATTTTTGTTCAATCAAATCAGCTTATTCTATTTTGATCGTCATGTTTATCGATCCATAAACAAGATTTAGTCATGTTCTACAAATTTTTTGTTTGTTAATCATCATCAACCAATAGATACCAATATTCTTTTGTTTATTTTTCTGCAAAAGAAAATTTTCCTATGTTGTTTAAATTTTCCCTATGCTGATTTTTTTAAATATAAAAATCCTCTTTTGAATTTCTCCTTTTTCAAAAAGAAAATTTTTCTATTACCAAAATTATTGTTATTTTCTTTTTGTATGTTTTTGATTTCTCTTTGATAAAATATATTTCATCCGTTGAAGATTTAACGAATAATATTTAAAGTTACTATAATATTTTAAGTTTATCAAAGTATTGAAAGGACGTCATACATCTGATACTTTCTGAAGACGAAAGACTAGAGATTAAATGGAGTTAATATAAGCGCTGTATTAATGTAGATATTTTTCTCATTTTTCTTTCCAGTTACTATATTATTTCCAGAAACATGACTCATACACGTCATCAAATACAAAGAAGAGGTTGGTCGAAACATCAAAGAGAACGTGCAAGAGAAAGAAAAGAATAAATATGCAATGAAGGTGAGCTACCTGGTGGATTTGATGAAATGCCTGAACTGCAATTATTGTATTAGGACTGTTCCTGAACTGCAACTATCATTTTGAGAATGGCTGGATTCATTAGACTAATTTCACTTAGTTGAGTTGCGCATAGACTAATGTTTTCCTTTTTCTTTATATTTGACATATATAGGTCGACAAGAGAGTTATGAAGAAACTTCAATCTTACGAGAACAATTAACAACTTCTTTGGAACAAATAGAAACTTTCTTTGTAGAATTTAATCAAGCACGTGATTTACTAACAGAACTTTCTACATTTTTATTTCAAACTGAAAATAGGTTTCAAGATCTTTAAGAAGCTTACAATACCTTATATCAAGATTTCCTTCTAGTTCAACAAGAAAGAGATCTTCTCCAAACAAATTCTCAAACACAAGCTATACGAACTCAAAGATTACAAGAGACCCTAGAAACTGTCCATGGTAGATATAGATTTATTGTACAGCAAATCCTTGATTGAAGTGTAGAATATGGATTTCGTGTGAGATTTTGTCGTCCTCGTGAGGATTAAGTATAAGTTTTCCTTTTTATGTCCATTTTCATGATTAAATACCATTAATTTCTATTCGAGGGGGATGTCGTACACTTCAGCTGACCTTGAATTACGCTTGTCGTACGCTTTGGCTATTCATGAGTCTAAGCTCCCCTTCCTCTCTTTTGTAGCTAACTATTATTTGTTGTTAATGTAGTTTCTAGATAGTCTTCTTCTATATGTTTGTTTTTATATTATTTTTCTTCAATTTTCTTTGTATTTTCAAAATATTCAATAA